AAAAATTAAAAATGAAATTCCTAAAAACATTTCTGGCGGAATTATTTTTTTGAATTTTTTTTAAATTGCCGCCAGAAATCCGTCGGAAAAAGTTTAATTTAAAAAAATGAATTTTCTAAAAACATTTCCGACGGATTTCCGGCGAAATATTAAAAAAAATAAAAAAATACTTCTGCTGGAAATCCGCCGGAAATATTTTTAGAAAATTCATTTTTTTTTCAAAGATCAATTAATTTTAAAAGGTTAATTAAGAATTCCGCCGGAAATCCGCCGGAAATCCGCCGGAAATCCACCGGAAGTACAATCAGTTTAATATTTCCGGCGGGTTTCCGGCGGAAGTCAATAAAAGTTGACTTTTTTTGAAGGCCGAAGGAAATCCGCAGGAAAATTATCGGCGGAAAAGTTCCGCCGGAAATGGCGCAGGAAACGCCCAGTTTTCTAGTAGTATGTTGGTTGTATTCAAGAATACAATTTTAATTTTAAACGTAAATTATTTGGTTCTTACTATGTAACCGGTTCCATATCAGTATTCAGATCCGGCCGATTGTGCAACCGGATAATGTCACCTATGATGATCACTAATAGATTGTTTTATAAGACCAAACATATGTGTTTTATATTTAAAAGTGTTACAATAAGTTTATCAAACATATGTGGTTGCTAGATAATATACAATATAATTTGACCAATAATTTGATTATCTACAACTCAAACCGGTCAGGAACCGTCTCCAAGGATACTAATGTGGGAGATATTTGTTGCCTCACTCGGTAGATGAGGCTAACAAATATATATGTCTGCTTTGTATTTGACAAAGTTCATTATGCCCTTTTACCAATTGAATTACACCGAACCGAATGCTAGGCTCAAACACTACTAGAAAACTGGTCATTTCCGGCGGACGGAATTCGCCGGTAATTTACCGGCGGATTTCCAGCGGACACCAAAAAAGTCAACATTTCGTTGACTACCACCTATTTCCTCCGGATTTCCCGCGGATTTCATAAGTACGTACTTTAATCTTGAATTTACATCTAATTACAACACTTTACCAGCGGATAATTAAATATTTTCTTTAAAAAAAAAAAGAATTAACAATTTCCGTCAGATCCGGCGGACAATTAAATATATTTTTTAAAAATTTTAACCATTTCCGGCGGATAATTAAATATTAAAAAAAAAAGAATTAACAATTTTCGGCGGATTTCCGACGGACAATTAAATATTTTTTAAATCTTTTTACCAATTTCCGGCGGATAATTAAATATTTTCTTTAAAAAAAAGAATTAACAATTTCCGGCGGATTTCCGGCGGACAATTAAATATATTTTTTAAAAATTTTAACCATTTCCGGCGGATAATTAAATATTTTAAAAAAAATAATTAACAATTTCCGGCGGATTTCTGGCGGACAATTAAATATGTTTTACCAATTTCCAACGGATTTCCGGCGGATAATTAAATATTTTTTTAAATTTTTTTACCAATTTCCGGCTGATTTCCGGCGGATAATTAAATAATTTTTTTAAAAACGGAAAATTATTTGAAAAAATCATTTTAACTTTAATGGACCATATTGGGCTTTAATGGAACGTATTGGTTTTTAATTGAACGTATTGGGCTTTAATGGAACGTATTGCACATTAATGGATCGTATTGGGTTTTAATGGATCGTATTGGGCTTTAATGAACCGTATTGGGCTTTAATGAACCGTATCATGCTTTCATGAACCGTATTCGATTTTAATGAAACGTATTGGGCTTAATGGAAGTATTGAGCTTTAATGGAACGTATTGGGCTTTGATGGAACGATTGGGCTTTAATGGAAGTTTTGGGCTTTAATGGAACGTATTGGGCTTTAATGAATCGTATTGGTCTTTAATGAACCGTATTGGGCTTTCATGAACCGTATTGGGTTTTAATGGATCGTATTGGTCTTTAGTGGAACGTATTTGGCTTTAATGGACCGTATTGAGTTTTGATGGAATGATTGGGCTTTAAAGAAAGTATTGGGCTTTAATGGAACGTATTGGGCTTTAATGGATCGTATTAGGTTTTAATGAACCGTATTTGGCTTTGATGAACTGTATTGGGCTTTGATGAATCGTATTTGGGTTTTAATGGACTGTATTGGGCTTTAATGGACTGTATTGGACGTTAATGAACCATATTGGGATTTAATGTTCAATAATATTGCATATTTTAAAAAAATATAATAATTTTAATAATTAAAAAATATAAAAAATTTAATAATTATATTTTAGTAGTAATAATAATAATAATAATAATAATAATAATAAATTTAATTTATTTTTTAAAAAGAATTAAAATAAACCAACGGGAGACAAAAATTCAAAATTTTCAATTGAACAGGGTATTTTCAGAAAATTTAAAATTTAGGAAAAAATTTCCGACCGATTTGTCCGCCGGTAATCCGCCGGAAAAGAAACACAGATAAAACCCTACCTCTCTTCTTTAGACAGCCGCCTGTGTGTGTCTCTCCCAAACCAAAACCAATTTTCGCCCAAACACGAAATTACCCTAACCTAAACCAGCGACCAGCCGCCGCCTCCTTCCTTCTTTCGGCAACCGCTCTTTCCGCCGGCCTCCTTCCGCCTCTTCCCGCCGGCCTCCTTCCGCCTCTTCCCGCCGGCCACCGGTAAGTATAGATCTCTCTCTCTCTCTCTATTTATATATATATATATATATTTCTGTATGTATGTATTTTCGTATATATATATATTTATTGCCGTTTATATATGTATGAATGTGTATATGTATGATGTATATAT